CTGTAAATGCTCTGTTAATAGTTGTTATACTGTATTGTTTAGAAAACAATGACTAGACTGCACATGTTCAATAGAGACACTCTTTTATTTTTCATTTTCATATTTTTTATCTGTGGTTGACTGAATCCAATGGATGGAGAGGGCTGATGGCCTACTGTATTTTATCTTTTTAAAAAAATATTTTTTAGTTGTTGATAGACCTTTATTTTATTTATTTATATGTGGTGCTTAGAATCAAACCTGGTGCCTCAAACATGCCAGGCAAGTGCTCTATCGCAGAGCCCCAGCTCCAGCCCCTGTATTTTATCTTTTAAATGATTTAAATAGATGAGATCCCCAGTAACCTTTCCAATTGATGTTATCACTGGATCTTTATTTTAAGCAAATTCTCAGCTTTTGTTTTGCATACAGAGAAATAGAAGTCTAGAAAAGAAGCCCAATTCCAGAAACTCACCTAAAACTTGCCCCTTTTGTTTTTTTCCCAGGAATGGTATGTTTTACATTTCTACTTAGCCTTTTAAAAATTTGCCCATTTCTTTCAAGCCTCCTTGAATCCCACTGTACAAAGGATGCCTTCTCTACTTCAGCCTATCATTTTCATTCTTTTCAGAGTTCTCACAGCACCCCTTATATATTCGATCTTAAATTGTTTTCAATGATTTCAGTTGTGTTGATTTTGCTATTTGAATTAGTATTAGACTATTAATTCTTTGTGTATTGAGACCATATTTTTTCTATCCTGCTTATAATACTTAATTGAATACTAGAACCTAATAGGCTCTTAAAAGAATATTGTTGATTAATTATAAATTTAATAGACAGCAAAATCAGGGAAATGCATTTGTTTTAAGCATTTCCAATGATGGTAGTGACCTTCATTGGATCTACATAAATGGATCTAATGTGATGTTGATTAAATATGTCCTAATCCTAATAAATATATTCCAATTAATTCTGTCTTTAAATCTTAATTTTTCAACAATTGAAAATCTAAAGTAACCTTGGACATGTCACAGTAACTTCTTTATGACAATGGGTTTGTAAAATAATTGACCCCTAATAACCTTGGATGTTTGAAAAGTGTTTGCCAAATGTCCATTAAAGGAATTAGCATTCATGTACTATGCTGGTATATATTTTGAGTTATAAACATGAAAAATATTCTACATTTACTAAACAATGGAGATAACTGTTCTAATTTTTATCCTTTGGTTGAAAAAATTTTAAGAATTTCCAGATCTACTAAGATTTCCTCAATGCCTAATATTGTAATTATAAAAGAATTTTCTAAAAATTCATGTCACAATATGTTAATAAAAAGAAGACTAAAGGATTGATTCAATACTTTAACATGAAATATAATTATCATATAAACTATAAGATGAAAGAAAAAATAAATGAGTTCTTAGAGGCAAACTGATAAAATAAGAAACAAAACAGATTAGTATGCAATTCTATATTTATTTTTTCACATTTTTATTGGTGCAAATGATGAAATTTGTTGTGACATATTCAAACATGCACACAATGTAACAATATCACTTCCCAGTGTAATTCCACATTTAGACACTGATAAAACAGATGTTAGAAAAATGATTCAGCATTAAATCAATCAAGATTATTTAAATTATTCCTTACTTCTATTATATAAAGTTTGTGCAGCAAATTACTTTTTAAAAATGTTTATATTTCATTTTTATTTATTTATTTAGCCTAGCTGAGGATTGAACCCAGGGCCTCAAGAATGCTAAGCAAGCACTTTGCCACTGAGCTACATACCTGTCCCCAAAAGGTTTTCCTGTTTTATTTATTTTTGTACTGGAGATTGAATCCAGGGGCACTTTACCACTGAGCTAGATTCACAGCTCTTTTTATTTATTTATTTTTTTAAATAGAGAGTGAGAGAGGAGAGAGAATTTTAATATTTATTTTTTAGTTCTCGGCGGACACAACATCTTTGTTGGTATGTGGTGCTGAGGATCGAACCCGGGCCGCACGCATGCCAGGCGAGCGCGCTACCGCTTGAGCCACATCCCCAGCCCCAGCCCCCAGAAAGGTTTTTAAAAATAGATTAAAAGGAAACTGACAGCCACAAGTGGTAGCCCACACTGTAATTCCAACAATTTGGGAGATTGAGGCAGGAGGATGGCAAGTTCCAGGCCAGCCCAGGCAATTTAGCAAAACCCTGTCTCAAAATAAAAAAAATAACAAAGGCTGGGGATTAGAGCTCAGTGGCAAAGTGCCCCTGCGTTCAATCCCCAGTACTGCAATAAATAAATGAATAACAATGAAAGAAAGAACAAAGGAGCCAGGTGTGGTGGCTGGCGCACACCTGTAATCCCAGTGGCTCCTGTGCCTGAGGCAGGAGGATCACAAGTTCAAATCTAGCCTCAGCAATTTTGCGGGACCCTGTCTCAAAAATCCCTGGTACAAGGGGGAAAAAAAAGAAGGAACAAAAGAAAGAAAATGACAACTTACTCTAAGAAAGTTTCTAGAAAAAACTCAGACTGTATGCATTTCATAAATTTTGAACTGGCTTGGGGAGAGCGTTGGGAAAAGCAATAGAAAAAAAGAGCCAAGAGAAAGGGAATACGATTGTGGAAAGGGAGTAAGAAAGGTAAATTGGACAGAGAAAATCTAAAGGGGAAAATGGAGTTTCCTATGATATTCAAGAAAGATAAGAAGAAATGCTTTCAAAATTTTGTGATACTGATTTTAAGTTATTTATTACAAAGTCAAATGGGATTGAAAATTGGAGATGGAAAGAAAAGGCCAAGACTCTTAGGTTATTGATTCACAGGGTCTGTGAGAGACCTATATACTGCTTTTTGCTGCTGTTGTTTTACAAGAATAAACCCATAAAATAACCATTATTTCAACAAACATTTACTGAACTCCTAGGTGCTGGGCACTATGCAAGGTGAGGTTAAGATGAACTAGAGCCCATAACCTGCCTATAAGCAGCCGGAGGGGACCCTGAAAATCATGTGATAGTCTTTTTTTATATAGCTATGAAAACTATCAACTTTGGCCTCTTTGTGAATGATCCTATGTGTGTTAAATTGATGCATGGAAGACACAAAGAAATGCAATCTAACTAGAGCTTTGAGCCTGAGGCTCCTTTCCTAGAGCAAAATGCTAAAGTTTGAAAGGGTCTTTTTAGATTTCAGGCAACACAAACGAAGTTTAGTGACATCAAGTTGGGTATTTTAATGGTACTCATTACAAAGGCGTTTTACCTGGATTATACTGTTGGGCCTGTTAAACAGGAATCTCAACTAGAATCCAAATTGGTGCTTCTGTGCTTAAGGCATGCTTTATCTGTTGGAAAGTTACTGATGAGATAAGTAGTGCTATCACCTGGACACCCTACAGTTTTGACTAACCCACTTCCATTAAAATGGAATTTAACTAAACCAGGTGTGTTGTGGGAGGCCAAGGCAGAAGAATGGCAAATTTGAGGCCAGCCTGGGCAATTTAATAAGATCCTGTGTCAAAAAAAAAAAAAAAGTCTGGAATGTAGCACACTGGTAGAGCACTTGCTTAGCATATACTAGCTCTGGGTTCAATCTGCAGTACCAGAAGATAAAAATAAAAATGAAAATAAAGCAGATGTAAAACTGAAGTACCCTGGTGAAAAATCTAGAAATTTTGTGTAAGGATCCCAGAAACAACACCAAGCCTTGAGCCAATTATTGAAAGTAAGAAATCTCATTTTGGAGCCTATTGTAAATGCATATGGCAATGTATTGCATGTTCAATCCAACACCAACATATTGAAGTCAGTATTTTTGTGCTGACCAAAACCTGACCCAGTACAAAATTTCTTATAACAGAAATTTAATGTTTCTGAAAGCATGATTACCCTCTCATTTCTTTTTTTACCTTCTTGTACCTTTCATAAGTTCTTTCAGTTGGTTAATCATTAATTAATATTTAACAAGGCTTTTTCCCAGTGCCAAATCCTTCTCAGCTAGTCTAGCCTTTAGGCAATGTATGAACTCCCCCACCCCTCACTTAAGAAGCCCTGGCACTCACTACAGGTTAATTTCTCTAAGGAAATTCATAATAGCAGATCAAGTTAGGGCTTTTTTTACAAGAACATTCAATTTTTTAAACCTCTCAATTTAGCATTTTTCCTGGTGCATATAAAATGGAACTTAATTGAACCAATTTTAAGTTTTCACAAAACTTTCCAAGCACACATTTCCAGAACAAAAATGATTATGACTAGAACAGGAAAGTTTTGTGAAACAGGAAAGTGCTTAGACATTTTCTTCTACAGCTGTCCCACAAACCGCTCCTTTGACTCCACCCTACAGAATACCCCCAACTCTGGCCTTCTCTCTAGACCTTTCCAATTCCAAAGGATTGGAATGCAGATAAGGAGGAGTCAGTTATGACAAGGAGGCAACCTCATGAGCAGAGGAGAAGAAATGATACTCTGGGAAGCAGGAGCACTCTCCAAATTTTCTCTGGTGAAAGGAGACTCATGAGAATTGAACCCATGTGCAAATGAATGGAACCAAGTTATTTCCACTGCTCGCTCCCACCTCCACCTCTCACTCCTTTCCACATGGACAAACCTTGCAGACAGAGGTGATTCTGGTCAACAATTTACTTGGCTGGAAGCCAAGGGCATGAGGGCTTTGCCCTCCCCATCCCGCTCCCTTAATTTCTTAAAGAAAGGGTTGTTGGTGGGGTTTCTCTGGGTGTTGTTATCACCTGAACAGAGCAGATGAAACAAGCAATGTTTCTTGCCAAGCCGAGATTCTTTTCGCGATTCCGTGAGAAATTGCCTGTCCCCTCTCCCAGACCTAAATAGTTGACATTCAAACTCTTGTTCCTGCATTCCCATCTTTTCATTTCTCCCACAAGATTTTTTGTTTTGTTTTTGTGATATTGAGAATTGCCTATCACTGAGTCACATTCCCAGCCCTTTTAGTTTTTACAAATGAGTTATTCATTTTTTATTTCAATGTATTTGTTTAGTTGGGTTTTCCCACAAGATTTTTTGAACATGTACTTCAAGTCAGGCACTGTAGACTTCTAACTTCTTAGCCCAGGTAGGAAAGAAAGAAACCAGCGCCAGAGACCGGTCTCTGCTCCCTGCCGCAGAATCACAGTTACCATCCCTACTGAGTGCCCATCCCAGTGCCTACTCTCCCAACGCTCCACCCAGTTGATGTGACAGGTTCGTGGCCCAATCCCCTTCCTGGTTCCCAAGCGGACTGCTAGTACTACCCGAGCCAATAGCGGCGGCCGAAGGGCGGAGGGGGCTGGCAGAAGGGGAGGGAGCGCTGGCTTTAGAACAGCAGCCGCAAGGATTCCAAGGGGCAGAAGTTGTCTGAGTGTTGGTCGGAGGCAGTTGGGCCAGACCTGGGACTCTGCGACTTTACGTAAGTGCTTTGCAGGCACTGGCGGGCACTAGGGGAGCGGGTTTCCTGGGCGTGGGCTGAAGTGGGTCCTGGGGAGAGCATCTCCGGTAAACTCAGTAGAAACGTGCCTTGCACCGACTGACCGGGTTTGGGCAGAAGGGGGGAAGAAATTTCAGTCTCAGCCTTTGGGCGTCCAGACGATCATTTGCAACCGGGATGGGTAGGAGTGACTGAGGATTCACCACCACCACCCGCCGCAGGCATTTCTTCACTATAGAAGACAGTGCTTTCTCTCTAGTTGCTCTTAAACTTGTTGCCCACCTCGGGCTGGAGTCCTTGACGCCAACCACTGCCCAGATTCCCTTCCGCCACGGCAGCTCCGAAGTGGAAACCCAGCGACTAACTTCCCTCCGCTGTCCTTCTCCAGCTCCTGCCATTCCCCCCTCCCTCTCGCCCGGACTCAGGAAATCCCGGAGGCGGCAGCCCGCGACGCCTCCAGCCCCCGCTCGCCCGCCTCGGTGACCCGGCTGCTTTACACCGACCCCGAGGCTCTGAGCCCGGGCGGAGTGCGGTGGCCAGGGGAAGGAATCTGGCTCGCGTTGCCTGCCTTCTGCTTGCTTCCCCTCCTTGCCATTACCCAGAGCGTGGCGATCGCACCGCGTCTCCCTATGAGTAAGCACTTTTTTTCTTTCAGTAGCAGAACATCTCTGGGCCAGTAGGGCAGTATCTTCCGAAGTTCTTCTCTCCTCGGACCCGGTGCCTCTAGTGTGCTCTCTTCCTAGCTGCTCTGATGCGGAAAGCGCGCAGTCAGGGCTGCAGCTGCCCAGGACCTCTCCCGGCTCCCTTAGAGGGTGAGCGTAAGAGGTGGTGGAAGGGGGATGATGCTGCCCCTTCCTCTGCTCAGCTGCACTTGCCTGTGTTTACTTTTCTCTACCCGCTATACTTAAGCGCTCTACTGAGAGGCAGGGGACGCCAACCACCCCCGCCAGGGCTTTTCGCCAGTAGCAAAGTTGCCGTCGCCGCCCCGGCTGCTCTAATGTGCCGGTGGTTCCTACTGCCCGCCAGGCTCCAGGCAGGAGCTGGTCCCAGCCCCAGAGATGGTGTGGAGTTAATACCACCTGACACTTCCCGTTCGAGATGCTTCTTGCTTCTCACTTGAACTGCATTACATCCCCAGTGGTGCAGAAGGTCGAGCTTGAAATTAAGAGACTTGGAGAGCCTCGCCATTTAGGATCAGACAGAAGCGATGCTCGGGGTGCCCGGCATATTCAAGGCAGAAGCAGGGAGAATAGAGCATGGCTGGCCACTGTAAGTAGGAAACGTAGGTGAAATTAAAAACTACTGAAGAGTAAGTTTTTCCTCCAGTTGGATGTCACAGTGTATTTGGGAACCTAAACTTGATCCCTGCGATGCATTTTACAGTGACTTCTAACTGTGGCCGCAATCCCACACATGCCAATTGGCATCACGTGCTCCAAGTCTCCGATGCCCCTAGGGTAATGGTCACATGACATCTTTTGACTTTAAAAGTGGAATGTAGTGACTGAGGCCCTTATTCCAGAAACTACTTCGACAAAAAGGGGGGAGGGGGACTCAAGGGAATTCTACTTGGATTTGGATGCGAGAAACAGAAAGGGAATTTGGTGCTCCAATTTTATCCAAAGTAAAGACCAGAGCCACTTTTAAAATAAAGACTTAAAATATATTTGTGCTGGGACATGACATAGCTCTATTTTTTCCCCTACAATCTCATATGGCTTTTGTAAATTAAAAAATATATTTTTTTTCTAATTATTTTCTAGGAAAGGTATCCTTTTACTTATATCCCATTTTGCACCTAATTGCTAGAATTGACCATACCCATAAGATAATGTTAAAAAATAAGGCTCTGTCCATATTCCTGACATGTCCTATATTTTAATTGAACCATTCTCTATATTGGGCATTTACTTAAAGGTGGTAGCTAAGCCCTTGACTAAAATTAATTATACAGTTATTTATGATAGGGAGTTAATTGAATCAGAAATCATGCACAAAACCAGTCCACACTAAATTTGACAAATAAGAGTTGGTTGGGGTTTTGGTTGGCCACGGTTTGGTTAAAATAATGAGAGGACTTGAAAACAACTTTCCCATATTGTCCTATACCCACCCATGTGGCCCAAGTTAAGTTTGCTGCTGGGAAAACGTGGCAATTTGCTATTTATATTATATATTGCAGAGTATAGAAACAACCAGAGGAATCTCAGAGGTCAAGAGTTTGAAAGCTTTATTTAGTTGCAAAGAAGGGATCCAGTTGATACACATTCCATCTTAAAACTAGGGCAGAAGTCATAAAAATGAAACAGACTATTTAAGAGCTTTTTGTCTTTGTAATTATTTTTTTTTTGTTCCAAGCCCTTTTTGTTTACTGTTGCAACCTCTGAATGAATTGGCCACTCATTTTGTTGCTGTGCCTGGATTTCTAAGCTTGAAGCTACCTTAAAGCACAGAGTTCTGTTCCTCAGGCTAGCCTTGTGGCACAGATTAACTAGCAATGGATTTAAACTGCACCTGAACTACTAGAGTTAACTACACTGGTGGATAGACCCCCCCTAGTGGAAATGAGATGACAATATAATTTTAGATTGAGCTAATAAATGTTTAACCTTAAAATATAAAAAGTGGGATACTACTGTCCCACTAGGCTACAGTGGTAGGGAGATAAGTTTGTTTTTTTGTTTTTTTTTTCTGGTACTGGGGATCAAACCTAGAGCCTCCTACTAGCAGTCTAGTGCTCTATCACTGAGCTACACTCCTAGTCCCAAGAATTATTTTTTAAATGTTATGAGATCCTATCCATATGGAATCATTGGCAGGGCATAGTGAGGCATGCCTGTAATCCCAGCAATTGGGAGGCTGAGGCAGGAGGATCACAAGTTTAAGGCCATCCTCAGCAACTTAAGCTCTAAGCAATTTGGTAAGACTCTGTCTCAAAAAGGGCTGGGATGTAGCTCGGTGGTAAAATGCCCCTGAGTTTGATGTCCTATACCAAAAAAGAAAAGAATCATCATTAGGCTTTAGTCCACAGCATTTCACTGCCTTGGGATTCCCATGCATTTAAAACCACCCTCAAGAGCTCATTGGTAGAGCATTTGTCTAGCAAACATTAGACCGTGGTTTCCATCCCCAGTACTAACACACAAACACACAAAACCACCCTCAATATTGTTGACTTCATGTTTTAGTGATACAATCAAATTGAGCCCAAATTTTAATAAAGTTAGAGGATAGTGAGTCTAATTCTTAATTTCTACTGTTAAACCTGGCCAGATATCAACCGCTTTCTTTACCTGGGGTAGAGAGCCAAATACATTCTGCTAGGTCATGATGATCAACATTGGAGTGCAAAGTCTCTAGTCTGATACTCTTCCGATTCAATTGCTAAAAATGACAAGACTTATGGCTTTTGGGGTAGAAGGATTAATTATAACTACTGAGTAATATTTTGAGTGAGATTAAGTCTCTTCTACCAGTGGTTATACACACATTAGACTTGACCATGACTATTTATACTGGCAGAATGTCAGTATCCAGGGTATTATCAGAAACCCAATGAAATTTTGCTCCTAGGCAAACAGTATGACTGTAACTGAAAAGAAAGGACAGCTTGACCATGGTGCTTGAGCACTAAAGTGATTCTGTTTGGTGAAGCTCACAGGGAAAAAGAAGAAAGTCCCCTTCTTTATTCTTTTAAGCATTATTTCAGCTTGGCTTTCTGCAAAATTTACTGAAATAATATTCTTAGCACATAAAATAAAGACATGGCTGCATTTTTATTTGATCTGGCATAATGTAGGTGGAATGTACATGGCAAACCTTTTTTGTTGGTGGTGCAGATTCTAAAAGTATCTGGTATAAAATAAAATTTGAACATGAACATTATCGATACAGCACAGTTTGGGTATCTGTTTTTGTAATCATTTGTGACTTATTCATATTACAGTTTTTCTTTTGGTACAAAGTTATGCAGAGGGGAAAAGTTTGATCTGTGAAAATAATAAAACTTGGGTTAGAAGAAAATAGGTCATGTTTTGAGTCTATAATTATTCCAGAGAGTGATAAACCAATTTGTTCCATTTGTTGGAGGTTTCAAAAGCTTTTTGGATGCATTACAATGTTGGAAGCTTGTTTAGATACCAGTGGTCATGACTAACTATTTTCAGTTAGTTATATATTGGTCTTGGGAGAAGTTGTCATCATACTTTAATCAATTTATTTTAGTTATACAGGTGAGACAGTTTCATATTATTCACCATAAATTTTTAAAATTTTTTTGTAGATGTACCAACACCTTTATTTTTATGTGGTGCTGAGAATCTAACCCAGTGCCTCACACATGCTAGGCAAGCACTCTGCCACTGAGCTACAGCCCCAGCCCTCACAATAAATTTAATAATATTGAATTTTGCTATATTTTTAGGAGTCAAAAAACTTAAGTATAAACCATTTTTAGGGACGAAGAAGAATTGCTGTTTTATGAAAATGCTAAGGGGAGGTATATTGGACTTGGCCTCAGAGGAGCTAGATTCTATACATGACTCTGCCACTGACTCATAGTTTGACCTTGAGAAAGTCACTTAAAATTATTTTATTGATGACTAACATTGGGTATATACATGTGGCAGACACCAAGCATTTTCACATTTATGAAATGAGGACTGGCTCAAGGACTTTTTGGTTGGCTGGGGTTTTGTTTTGTTTTGGGCACTGGGGATTGAACCCAGCAACACTTTACCATTGAGCAACATCTCTAATCCTTTCTTTTAGTGCATTTTAGTTATACATAATACCGAGGTTCATTTTGACATAATTATACAAGCATGGAATTTAATTTGCTCTGATTCAGTCCCCAGCACTTACTCTTTTCCTCCTCTCCTCTTTCCCCCATTCCCTTTCCTCTATTCTACCAGTCTGTCTTCTACTTACCTATAATTTTATTTTTAATTAGTGCATTATGGATATACATAAAGATGAAATTC